CGTATCTGCGTTTCCCTAATCGAGCGCTCTTTCGTTTCTCATACCGTCTGCGGTCTCTTCAATACACAAACTATCTTGCGCGGACGCAGCGGTGCCCAGTCTTTGCTATCACGAATCGGCGATACGTACGGACATCTCACGAAGGGGTGTTTTCCTGGCCTGTGATGGAGACGAAAGCGTCGAAACGTAAGGCCGCAGACTACTGACGACGATACTTGAATGGCTTACATGACAAGGAAGAATGTTTATGAACTGACAGGTCTGTATAAAGTATCTTGGAACTGCCCTTTCTGGGTAAGAGACGTTAATCATATTTCCTGATGCAAGAACTATGCATCAACCCAATACAGAACTTAGCAAAACCAGCTTTGGTTGGTGTACTAATTAGATATCTTCTGAGAAGAGCTACCATTCAACACCAGCGTTAGGCAGTTAGCAAGGATTCAAGATCTAGAAGCATTATGAAACTCAATTTTTTCTTTCAAAAATCATCACCTGATTCGATAATCTAATAATTATAATTCAGGAACAATCTGTACCATCTGAAATGTTTTCGCTGCAGCGTTTGCTCAGAAAGGTAAGTTGAAAACAGCTTTTCATCTCTATCATTTGCTGTAAATCTATAGAATAGGGCAGAATATAGATCTCTACTTCAGTTTCGTCGTTGGAGAGCGATTTCGACTTCATGAAAATCAAATTCTATGCGAAAGTGATTGGCGAGAGTTGAAGTTATTCTCGCAAGCAGCTTACAACGATCGCAGCCTCAATCAAATTGCTCGCAACTTACGTGAAATGCCTGATTTTCAACCGGTTCGTTTTTCTTTGTAATTCCAAATAAGTCAAAGGGAACGAGTGGGAGCAAGATGTTGTCGTTATTTTCCTTGACAGCAACGGAGATCATAGTCGATGTTTACTTACCATATGATATGCTTATAAAGTTATGAGGAGCTTAGACCCGCCACGTTGCTCCATTAGTAACCGATTGATCACATATTCCTGAGCTCAATCTGAATAAAAAATTTTTGAGCAATTTTCCTGTTTCTGAAGCACTTTGGAATCGTTTTCGACAGCTCCTTGCTTTATTCTGGTTATTCAAACAAAATCTCAAAGCCAAAATTTTTTCAATATCACTCGTCTGGCCAAGTCCATCACAGCTGAATGCTTTTTTAAAAGGCAGGCATTGTTCTTACGAGGAGTTACGTATGTTGTGCACATGTCTCTTGAACTAATCACTGAGAAATAAGTATCCGCTTTCTCAAAAAAATTTTTCAAAAAATTATATATCACAACTGAACAATAATAATTAATAAGTAGTATAATTAGTAATAATTCGAGACCTTTGACCTTCTGCATGGAAAAGTTTTCAAGTAACAGTTTTATTTTGGACTTTATATAATTTGCAATGTTGAAAGTTACTTACATGAGTTATAAAAATGTGCAAGTGA